TTGAACTTTGGTCAGCCTTATGCAAGGCAAGTGCCCTGTTTGCTGTACTATTTCTCAGCCCCCCTCGTTTCACTCTTTCCTGGGCACTATTTTAGGTACTATGGATATGGCATATAAGAAAGCTATGAACAAGCATTAAATAATGATGAGTTCTGTATCATTACACATTATGTTAACAGTTATCACTGGAGTAAAAGTACATGTGAATGAGGTATGAGGGGAGAGCCCATCAAAGGGCACGTGTCTCTGAGAAAATGACATTTATGACTTAAAGAGTATGTAGCAATGTAGCACTGTTCTCCCGTTGTTCATCGATTTGCTCCAGCGGGCACCAGTTACGTCTCTATTGTGAGACTTGTTGTTACTGTTTTTGGCATATCGAATATGCCACGGGGAGCTTGGCAGGCTCTGCCGTGCGGGCGGGATACCCTCGGTAGCTTGCCGGGCTCTCCAAGAGGGACGGAGAAATCGAACCCGGCCGCATGCAAGGCACATGTCCTACCCGCTAGTGCTATCGCTTGTACATTAAAAAAAAATTGGGGGGAGACCGGAGTAGTAGTACAAGCGGCCACGGTGCTTGCCTTGCATGCCACCCACCTGGGGCTGATCCCCAGCACCCCATATGGTCTCCTGAACCCTGCTAGGAGTGATCCCCAAATTCAGAATCAGGAATAATCCCTGAATACAGCTGGGTGGAGCCACACCCAATGGTGCTTGACAGACCATGCAGTACTGCGGATTGAGCTCAGGCTGCCTACATGCAAAGCAGTCTCTCTGGCCTGAAGTTATATCCCCACAGATAAGTAGGAGTGAACCAAGATGAAGAGGTAGGGCTGAAAGGTGGGAAGGCATTAAGAAGCCTCCAGAGAGACGTGCTTGCAAAAAGATTCAGGGAGTGATAAAACAAGAGGTAGCAGGGTGGCTTGAATGTCGGAGGAGCTGTGGTTGGAGCGGTAGTGGAGGGCTGGACAAAGCCACTCTTTTAAGCCATGGTTTAAAATTTAAATTTACATGCAAGGGGAAGTCATTGAGAAGGTCTAGAACCACAGAAATGAACATGACCATACTTTTAAGACATTTTAAGGGAACTGCTAGCGGGTTAATAGAGTGGGAAGGGCGCTCACCTTACATGCAGCCAATCCAGGTTTAATCCTGGGTAGTATCACATGGTCCCCTGAGACCCACCAAGTGATCTGTCATCTCAGAGCCAGGAGTAAGTCTAGCAAAGGTGGGTGTCCCAAAACAAAGACAGTTAAAGGCAAACATGGAAGATGGCTTAGTGGCTTTAAGGCACTTGCCCACAAGTGCAAGGAGGTGAGTTCAAATCCTTCCTTCATGGTAATTTGCAACCCTGACAGCTCTGATGCTCTGACAAAGGGCCTAGATGGGTGAGTGATTTAGATGAAAATAAAAGCATTTAGGACAAGTGAGCTTAATCTCCTAAAGCTATCTTCATTTCTGCCTAAACCCCACTATGAGGAGCTCTGGTGAGTGAAAAGGAAAAAGAAAAAAAAAGATACTCAGATCTCTGGCTATTTGGGGAATGGACATGGACTTTAAGGGCCAAGAGCACAGACAGCAGTTAATCAGTACCAGTCAGGACTAGAAAGGATAGTGGTTGGACTAGGGGGTGGCAGTGGACCCAGAATCAACGGTGTACCCAGGCTCTCACATCTCCAACTTGAAGCTTTCAGGTCCGAAGATGACTCGACCTTTAAGAGACAGAACACTTGAGTTCTATCTTCCTGGCTTTACCCATGTAAACAGCAGCTATAAAATCTCAGGGTTACTAACTCTTCACCAACTCTCTCTGTAGGGCAGAGGCCAGCTACCCCACCCACCTGGAGTACCTGATTTACTGGCCAGGTCAATGGAAGACATGTGACCCGTGATCTGAACCTGAACGAGATCTGAATCCGAGCCTGTCTTACCTATTACCCTTTCTCTTTCAGGCTTACGCATCCATGATTATTTATATTTTCAAGTCCTGAGTCCAGGGGACATTCGATACATCTTCACAGCCACACCTGCCAAGGACTTTGGTGGTATTTTTGTAAGTTCAGGAGGTCCCCCATCTCTGATCATGTCTCCACCTTCTCCCTACCAAACCCAGGTGACCCAATCATTCTTCGGTCAGTATCTGTATGAAGGGCTTCTACCTGCCCCCTGAGGATAATATACACCTGGGCACCAGTGAGAAGCTTGTTTTTTTCTTTGGGGGCCCCCAAGTTAGTGAAAAAACAAGGGTTCAACTAGGTCTGCCCCCAAACAGTGTGACTTAAATAACGTCCCCCCTCTGGCTCCACACCAACTCCCCTGTCCCGTGGAAAGGCAGGGTGGGGTTGAACAATGGGCAGGCCTTTGTGCAGAAAAAAATAAAAATGCCCAAGTTCCCAGCCCCTGGACAGCACTCCATGCTTCCTTCACGCTGCTGGGATGGAATTGTCAGCTCCTATCTCCTTGCATTCTTGCCTCCCAAAATGTCTTTCAGCATACAAGGTATGAGCAGATCCACCTTGTTCCCGCTGAACCTCCTGAGGCCTGTGGGGAACTCAGCAACGGTTTCTTCATCCAGGACCAGATTGCTCTGGTGGAGAGAGGGTAAGGAGCACATTGGCACAAGGGGAGGGCAGGGAGAAGGGAGAAGGCAGACTCAGCAACCAGTGTGAGTGGTGATGCTTTGAAATGATTCCTTAATGTCTTCCAGAAATGTTTTAGGGTTATACTTGCCTGTTGGCCATTTACTTAAGAGTCTTATTTAAAAAGAGAAAAAGGTATCTATGATCCTTTCATCCTTCCAGGGCTATGGTCTGGGGGATAGTAGCTAGGACCCTCCTTCCTTGGTCTCATTCCCACCAGGGGCTGCTCCTTCCTCTCCAAGACCCGGGTGGTCCAGGAGTACGGCGGGCGGGCAGTGATCATCTCTGACAACGCAGTTGACAATGACAGCTTCTATGTGGAGATGATCCAGGACAGTACCCAGCGCACAGCTGACATCCCTGCCCTCTTCCTGCTCGGCCGAGATGGGTGAGAGCTCCTTGTCTCTCGCTGGATCAGCACCGGGCTGGGTGCCGTGATTCGGGGAGGTCAAGGGTAATCACCAGTCCCTTCCCACAGCCTCATCTTGGGTGGCCCAGGCAGAGGGCAACCAAAGTCCCTTGGGTTCTGAAACTCCCAGGATGATGGGGACAGCAGGGCATGATGGGATGCTGAGAAAATGACCATCACCACCTCTCTTCATGCCCTCCCAGCTACATGATCCGCCGCTCCCTGGAACAGCATGGGCTGCCATGGGCCATCATTTCCATTCCAGTCAATGTCACCAGCATCCCCACCTTTGAGCTGCTGCAGCCGCCCTGGACCTTCTGGTAGAAGAGTTGGGCCCACATTCCAGCCATAAGCAACTCTGGGCTGGGAAGAAGGAAACCCAGGCGTTCTGCCATCTGAGCTTTGGGAAATCGCATTTGGGGAAGGGGAAGCCAGGTAGAAGACACAGGCTTGAGCCTGGGTAGGCTATGGGAAGCAGCAGGGCTGCCCTTCCCTTTCCTGGGCTCTCCAGGGTTTGTCATGCTCAGAGAAGCAGCAAGAGCCAGACCTCAGAACTTGTTTAGCATCTGGAACACAAAAGGCAGTGACCTGAGGGTCATCGGTGACCTGTCAAATCGCACCTGGCTCCAGCCTCCCCCACTGAGGGTCACCTCACAATGTCCTTCAGCAGTTGCTGGAGTAGTTTAAGGAGCTGGTGTCTGGGGACTCCATGACCCTCTTTTTAGCAATAAAGCCTCTCATCAGGGTTGCGACTGTGTCCTAGAATCAAAGCACCAGAGGCGGGGGTGGGGGAAGTCCTTCAGACTCAGTCAGCTGAGCTCATGCTGTTTGGCGGGGAGGACACTGAGGCCCAGGGGGAGGGATGATTAGCTAGATCCTCTAGCGCCAGTGTCGACTGCTAATCTCAGATCCCAACACCACCTTTGGTCGAGTGCTCAGGAAGCCTCCATTCAGTTTCTTGGGGAGACCCATGGAACAGGGGGTCCACAGTAGGCTTCCTAGAGCCTTGTTCTTAGGCTTAGAAGCATGTGCTGAGCCCACACTCAGAACCTGCAGCACCCATCCCCCCGGCCCACCCAACTGTCCCTCTGTAGGCCCTACCTGACGACTACATGCGCCGACAGCCAACCAAGCCACACTCCACAAAGCATTTCTGCGGAGGCCTGTCACCACTCACATTTTATTGAGAACAGTGGGCAGGCAGGGATGGAGGGGTAGCTGGTCACGGCAGAGAAGAACGAGACCCACAGGCCAGACAGGCAGGGGGTGTCCGGGGGAAGACTCTCCCATGGAGGGGATGTGGCAGACTCGCAAGGTAGGTGGGAGGGAGTTCTGAATGACAGGTTATAACTCTCACAGCAAAGACTGAGGGACAGTGCTAATCTGGGGAGAGGGACACAGTCAAGCCTAATCTCGGAGTCACGGGTCCAGCTCCCCGAGGCTCCTGGAAGACTGTCAGTGCTCGTCTGTGGGAATCCCGAGGCCAGGAGAGCCACCGTGGACCAGGTTAAACTGGCCCAAGGAGCAGCATGAGTGGAGGAGCACAGACCTGCCGTCTCCTTATCTCAGCCATGCACTGGGGACAGATGTGAGGAAGGGACGATGAACCCCCCCGAAGGCCTCTCCCACATCCTCAGGGGCCAGTAACTGTGCCAGAGGCAAGGCACAAAGTCGAGAGTCTAGTCTGCACCAGGGTTCATCACTACCTCCCAGGTGTCCAAACAGGAGAGTGGGGGGTGGGGAGAGAGAGGTCACCGTGCTCGCCCCGCGTCCCCCCAGCACAAAGCTGCATGGAAGGTGCCCTGGACCCCCAGTTCCTCCTTTCTGGCCCTCACGGCTGTGCTCTGGACAAGCAGCTGCCTTCTCAGCTATGATGGCGGGAGGTAAGTGAGGGCGCCCCCCGCCCCCTTCCTTCTTCAGTGAGGCCAGGCTGCTCAGAGTGGCCACTCGAGCAGGTGGAGAGACGCCCCAGGTGGAAGAAACACAGCTGGGCCCTGACAGGGTTCCCTGACTCACTTCTGGGTCAACTGCGCTGGAGGGCAGTTCTGAAAGGCTCAGTGGTGGTCCCAAGCCGGACACTCAGCTGCACTGACCAGGGCCTGAGGCCAGGCAGGGGGCAAGGGGCCTGAGGCCAGCCTCCGCCCTCCCCTCCGGCAGAAACAGCTAGAAGGAAGGAAAGCAGGCAACAGGAGAGGTGGGGGGGGCTCCTTCCCAGCCACTTCTCCGGGAGAAGCCCACTCTCCCCGCAGGGCCTGGGCACCATCACACATCGGTCATCTCATCCCCCAGCTCGGCATCCTCCTCGTCGTCGTCATCGTCCTCCTCCTCTGAGGTCACGTTGGGCTCATCTGCCTCTGCCAGGCATTTGGGGCAGGAGCAGACAAACAGGTAATTCTCCCTGCAGGGGGCGGGAGGGCAGTGGTGAGGGTGGAAGGGGAAGTGGCCGCCAGGAGAGAGGACCTGACCCGGCGCCCGGCTGCCCACCCTGATGCCCCCCGCTGGCACCTGAGGATCTTATGGCGGCTGTGACGGCTGCGCTCCCGCTGACAGCAGTCCAAGTAGCTGATACAGATTTCCTAGAGGGCAGAGAGAGGAGCGGGGAAGGACAAAGGTGTGTGCTCGCCGAAAGAGGAGAGGAGGCACCCTGCGCTGTGTCCCCCATCTCCCAGCCCTCAGTTGGGGGGTGGGGGACCACCGGTGTCTGCCGTGGGAGGTACTCAGCCAAGGGCGGTGGTTTAAAGGGAAAGGCCCAGGCGTGTGCGGAGGTGCGAGAGGCAGGCAGGCCGTGTGTGAGCTGTGCTCAGTCAGAGCCCCCAAACCTACCCTGGTCCCACACAGCCCTGACCACCAAAAGCCTCCCTCCCCAACCCCACCCCACCCCCCACCCCCTGCCCAGGTTCCTTAGAAGCTTCACATCTGTTAGGCAAAAGGTGGCCGGGACCAGAACCAGCTCCTCAAAAAGCTGGTCTGAGTGAGGCTTTCTGGAGTGTCACTTTTTTGAACAAAAAAGGGGATTAGAGCAGACCCATGGGTTCACTGGTTCGAGGAAGGTGGAGATTCTACCCAAACAGTCTGGACTTGGGGGGCCCAGCCACTGGTGCTCCTGATCCCTTGCAGTGCCCAGGGCCCACCCGCCCCCACAGTGCCTGGGCTCCCCCTCACCTCTCCTGGCTTAATATCCTCCAGGGCGGTGATATGCAAAAGGAAGTTGTTTTCTGGGAAGGAGGTCTCTGCATTGGGGACACAGCTGTGGTTGCCTGGGTCACGAGAGGCAGGTTATGAGTGCTGGCAAGAACAGCTTCAACCCGGCAGTGCTCTCCTCGTCCTCGGGCCTGCCAGGTTCCCTGCCCCCCTGTGCAGTGTGTTTTCCTGGAAACCACAGCATATGGGCAGCAGCGCCTCCCACCCACTCCTTGCCCCGCCTCATGGCTTCACCCTGGGCGCCTTGGTTCTCATCTGCGATCCTGAAGTTCCCTCACAAAGCAGGGAACAGGGCTGCAAAGGGATGCCCAGGCCAAACCATTTCACTCAGTCTGGTGGGCTACTGGACAGCTGCTAACGGCTGAGCCAGGCACCCCCAGAGCCAAATCTAGGAGGGCAGAGCAACCGTTTGCACCAAGGGATCAGAGAGCGGACAGTCTTAGCCGGCTCTGCTTCTCCTCCCTGCCGGGGTCCCCAGGGTCTCCAGCACTCTCCTGATTGCCCCTCTTGAGAATCACAGGGGGTTGGTGGTGCAGAGTGCACGCTGCCCCTTTCAAGAACCAGAGGTATGTCCCAGCCTCAGCACAGGGCCTGGCTCCATGGAAGGCTTTATGTTTAGAACTATATTAAAGGAGGAGCAATCCACTGACTGAAAACATATACAATAGAAAGGGCTCAGGGGAATCCCAAGAAATCCAGAACTAAGACTCAACTCGACTGGCCTACAAGAGGTTCATTAAGAGACACGAACTCTGCCCTCCCCAGTGCAGTCACTTACAGCAGCTCTGAAGCACAAACAGGCCAGATCCTTCGCAGTTAAGAAACTCGCCCGTGGCTGGAAGGGAGTAACATGCGGGTGTTATTCTATCATTTTATAGGTGGGAAAAAGCAAGCTCACAAGGACAGACCTTGGCTCCATGTCCTGCCATGCTACCAAACTAATCTCCCCAATCTCAACTATTTTACCTGGAGTTGCTTCTTCAAGGCATGAGTTCTGCTTTTCTGTAACAAATGATCACTCTCTGTCCACTCCCCACCCCAGCCGGGAGTGTCTGGATCCCAGGGCCATTTCTTATCCGTGTACCCTGGAGCCAGACCTGAAACTTCCCCCGGCACACAGGGCTTCCACTCCCCAACCGCAAGCTCAGCTCCTGGGGGAAGGCTGTGTCTGGCTTCAAACTCGGGCACTGGCAGCAGTGAGGGGTTGAGGGAAGGGGAGAGCGCTAGCTCACCAACCTGACTCGATGTCCTTGTAGAGCTGGTCAATGAAGGTGTCCAGCTTCTCACGGTCCTGCGGTTTCAGCTCCAGAGCATCACAGGCATGAACCCACTGGCTTAGAGAGCTGGGGGCGTCCCAGGCAGCCATGGTTGGGGAGGAGGGGGCCCAGCTCACAGGGCCCTCCAACTCTAGGCAGGTTAAGCCTATTTCTTTCTCCATTTTCCCCAGAAGACCAACCCCTTCTAGCCTTAAGCAGACCTGGACAGGGGTGGGAGTGATAGTACAGTGGGAAGGGCGTTTGTCTTGCATGCAGCCAACCTGGATTCATTCCCCAGCTTGGCATCCCATATGGTCCCCAGAATACCACCAGGAGTGATTCCTGAGTGCAGAGGCAGGAGTAACCTCTGAGCACCACCAGGTGTGGCCTCCAAACCAAACAACCGGAAAAAAAAAAAAAAGATCTGGGCAATGTAGTGCCCCGTGGAATCTCCCATTCAGGCCCCAGAGGGATAAACCCCATAGCTCTGGAATATTCTCTCCTAACCTGGTCCCAATTCCTTGGCCGTTGGTCCCAACAAGAGCAAAGAGAGAGCGGAATCCATCTGGAGTGAACCACTGTGGGTGAGAAAGAGATGTGCACTCAGGCTCAGTAGATGCTCGGCCACTGGCTCCTGCAGAGCTTGAGTGCCTGAAAGGCCACTGGCCCCCTTCCCCAGGCTCACCTGACTGAGCGCTTCCTCATAAAGTGCCTCTGTGAAGAGTCTCCTCAGGAGCTCCAGCTGGCCCTGGTTTGGGGGAAGCAGGGAGAGGTGTGCATCCCTAGGGATTTCCCATCACCACCCAGGCAGGGTGCAGAAGATGCAGAGGGAGAGGAGAGGGAAGGGAAGGGGACCGCGCTCTGCCCGGGCACAGAGGGAAGCCACAGAACCGGCATCTTCAGAGTCCAGGACCTGCTTGATGTCACAGCCCAGGGCAGCGACAGCCAGTTCCTCCGTTTCCAGCGCTGTCCGTCCTTACCCCCACCCTGCAGGCCTCTAAGCTTGCTCTGTCCCTCCTCTCCTCTGAATTCCATACAGGAAGGCCAGCCCAGACACCCGGTCACCCTCCTGCCTGCTCCTCCTGCCAGCTGCTGCATGGAGGCCTTCTGTCCTAGGGCATCCTGGACATCTGCCAATCCTAGTTTTCACTGTTCCTGACCCTGTTGGATGCTCAACCCTTCATTCCTTACTATACCTGATTTGCCTGCTGCTGTCCTATCTCGGGGTCCTGCTTTCCCACACTGGGGCACCCCCCCCCCCCAGCCTCCTTGATTTTAGGTCCATGTTAGGTCAAAGAGTTAAACAGCAGCAGGAATCTAAGTCCTCGCATCGACTGCTCTCTGATCAGAGGCTGCCCATTTTTTCAGTGGTGGGGAAGGGACCAAATGTGATGATCTCTCGGGTAGCTCAGAACACAAGAAGAGAAGGGCAGTAGAGAAGACAGACCTTGAATTTGTCCCCCAGGAGTTTGTGGACAATTTCTTCCTCCTCATTGGCTGTTTTATTACAGAACTGGGAGAACAGCCTGATCCAACGGTCCTTATCCTTAGCCTGCAATAAACAAAACATACTTCAAGGCCACGTACACGCATTCACACTGAGTGCTCATATGGACTCCTGTCCTGGCACCTACTTACTGCCAATCCTACCCACATGGAAGGGGAAGCAGGTCCCAAGGTCTCTGCTCTCAGGACACACACAGAGCTCCGAGGTGAGACAATTCCTGCTGGGGACATCCTCCCACCCTCCCACCCATACCCACCTTCTCCCAAGCTAGCTAAGTGAACAGCACCAGGGAAATCAGAATGTGGCTGAAGAGTGATGATACTTACACAAGAATTTAAGGACATTTAAGAGAGCTCCATGGCCTGAGTGCATATTTGGTAGCAGGAGACCCGGGTTCAATTCCCAGCACCACATGGTCCCCCAAGCACCTCCCAGGGCAACTCCCAACCTCTCCATCCCAGCACTGCTGGGTGTTGGCCTCACAAAACAAAAGTAGATTCACTCCATGTAAGAGAAATGCACAATTGAAAAGGAGGTGCTTAGTAAACTGCAGAAGCAGCCCAATGAGAGATCACGGTCTATACACTAGAAAAGCCTCTCAGCCACTCTTAGGCCAGGGAGCGAGCCAGTCTCCCCTCACAAGCCCAGGAGGGGCTCTGCATGCCAGCCCAGGCCACGACTGGGAGACCAAAGCCAGGGCTTAATGAGGCGTCAGCTCCCCGGGGAGGGCCAAGGTGGGCTCACCTGCTTCACGGTGGCCACCATCCGGGCCATCAACATGATGCTGGCCGTCTCAGGGGGGTAGTGAACACTCCTGGGGGGAGGGGGAGAAAAAGGTTTAGACTGGAATTCCCTCCCTACCCTCCAGACTGGAAACCTACTTCGACTGCTATAGAAAAGCCTTCTTATAGATCCCATTTATTATTAAAGATAGAAAGTTACAAGCTATGATGTGGGCAGGATTTTACAACCCGGTAGGCTTTCACAGGGGCTCCACCTGGAAACGCTGAGGCGGGTGGGATTGACAGTTTAAAGTAAAGGCTTACGTGACCCTTTTAGCCCTACGAATAGAGGGAGCCTCTGGGCAACGGTAACTGAAGAGAAGCCGCATCCTCTGGACCCTGGCAGGTAGGCAGCAAGGAAGGATGAAGGGAAGAAGAGGTGAAAGGTTACCTACCTCCAGGCCTCCTGCAGTTTATTGAGAGGGTGCAGGGGGTCATCCTGGGAGGGGCCCGGGCACAGGACCTGGTGGTACTGCTCAGCGGCCGCCAGCCGGCATTCTGCACTGCAGTACATCACCTGCGGGGAGGGGGAGGGCAGCGCTGAGATCTGGTGAGATTTGGTGAGACAAACGCTGCCAGAGACCTGCCCTTTGGTGAGGCACTCACCTCCACCGTGTGTTTTTGAGGTGTTCACACCCCTGAGTCACATCCCTGCCCTTATTTTTGGAGGGATGAGGCCAACAACACTTCCAAAGTGCTAGGGGGACCAGGTGGTGCTGGGGATAGGACCTGAGGTTCCCGGACACAGTCAGACACTGCAGCGCTTGGAGCTGCCTCCGCAGCCTGGAACTTACCCCACTGAATGCGTTCCCGCCACACACAGCCCGAGTGGCAGCTTAGGGGGACGAGGGCCGGAAGGAGTATAGTGCACTCTGGGCGTGTGTGGGAGGCGCCTCCGGGCTGGGCCAGTCACCACGGGCAGGAAAGGAGCTACAGCTCCCGGCCAACCTGGTTTCTGGGCAGCAACCCTGGGCCAAGGCGGGTAAAAGTGGAGCCGTGGCAGAGCCTTGGCAGTGTGGTTCAGGCGTGGCTCTCAAGGCTCCTGGCAGGGTCTGTCCTCACAGTCATCTCCCTCCGGGCTGCCCGGGCTCCCGAGGCGCTCACCTGGCAGTGGGGGCAGTGCTGGTGGAGGTCCTTGCGCACCGGGCACAGCTCAGGGTGAGGCAACACCTGGCCAGGCTTCCCTGTCAGCCTCTGAGCGTTCTCCTCGGCCTTCTCCAGGGCCCGCAGGCAGTGGTCACAGGCTGAGGGAGAGCCAAACACCTCGAGGTCAGTGTTGTGAGAGTGGGGGCCACAGCAGTACCCTCAGGGTGAGGATAGTACCAGGCAAGCAGCAGGTGCTCAATACAAGTCCGCTGGGGCCAGAGCAATAGTACAGCGGGTAGGGCCTTTGCTTTGCATGCGGTCACCCTGGGTTCAATCCCCAGCACCGCGTAAGGTTCTCCGAGCTTGCCAGGAATGATCCCTGAGCACAGAGCCTCCAGTAAGCCCTGAATACTGCTGGGTGTGCCATGTCCCCCTCCCCAGTCCCCCCCCAAAAAAAACACAAAAAGTTTGCTAAAGCAAGTAAATGACTGACCATGCTACCGAATGAAAGGACTGAGTGTCACATACATTTGAGGTCTACGATTCCATCTTCTGCCTCTGGAGTCCTCACCCCTCCTATCAGCCTTTTTTTTTTTTAAATGGGACAGCCCATGGGGCTCCTCTCCTCACCTGCCTGAGATTTCATACATTCTGGAACTCACCCTCCTGTCAATAATGTCAATAATTCTCTAGCCTCAGAAAGATGTAAATAACAACAAAAAAAAAATCAACTAGAAAAAAAAGCACAAGGCTGGCACAGGCGAAGGCCACCCTCCTTGCTTCTGACCCCTCACTCGGCCTTTTGGGCCAGGGGCATGCTGCCTCCTCTCGGGACCCTGCTCTAGCACAGAGCCCTTCAGCATGAGGTCCACTCCCTTCCCCCGTGGGCCGGGCTGTTTCCACCTGAGGGAAACCCTCCCCGAGAGCATCTCCACCACAGGCTCACAGCCCAGATGCGGAGAGACAGAGGCACAGTCCCAGGCGAGGGTCTCCGGGGGCCGATCAGCTCTTTCCCACACCCGGGGCCCAGAGATAGCAGCCAGGCAGGTGGTCACCTCGGTAGCGGTAAAGTGCATTCCACAGAAACTGTGCGGCCACCAGGGGCCGCTCTACAAAGATGGTCTCCCCCTTCCGGATCAGCTGGGTGGCGAACAGCCCCTTTCCCTGGAGGGCAGAGAAATAAGAGGGCGGTCAGAGGAGAGGAGGGCACAGTTCCACTGGCTCCCATGTGCCACCATCTCCACCCCAGATGCTTCCCTCTCAGCAGAGGCCTCGTGGGATGGTCATGGAGCCAGTCAGCGCCTTCCAAAATCGCCTCCTTGGGAAGCACCTTTTCCGCTGTTTCCTGAAGCAGGACAGAGGGCCTGGGAGAGCCAACGACTGCGTCCACATCCAGGACCCCAGACTTCTTCTCGAGGGAAGAGTTTTTGGAAGGACCAGAGAAGGGGCTCAGGGAAAGCTAGAGCCTCCTCCTGGGAGCTGGTACTGACAGGGAGGGCTGCTCCCATCACCCATACCTGGCTCCGGGATCCTGGCAGGGATGCTGGAGCATCACTACTTTTCCTGCAGGGAAAAGCAGGCCAGGCTTGGGGAGAAGATGTCCCACCACTGGGTGTCCCACTCTATGGGACCCGGCACCCAACACACTGTCAGGTGTTACTCTGAAAGCATGATTAACCCACTGGTCTAGACTGGCTTAGAACCTCGCGCCAACTGGCCGAGAACCTTTAAGCCAGTTGCCTCTCTTTGTACATGTTTCCTGCATGAAAAGCCAACACTGTAATACCCACCAGGTAGTTTTCAGGACACGAGGATCTGGTACAGCTTGTGACAGCTTGATCCTTACTACCCAGCAGCATGGGCCTATCTTGGGAGGCTGATTCACACGCACGCTCTAGTTTGAGAAGCGCTAGTGTTAAGCCCCATACACAGCCCGTAGGGAATGAAGGAGGAGAAAACAGTCACTAAACTAACCATCTTTCATCAGGCAAGTGGACTCAGGAGACAACTTGGGAGCCCTGGCGCTGGGCCTGCCAGGCACTCACTCTCACTGCTTGTTCGCAGAGGTGAGGGATGGTGCCCCCGGTCAGTACTGAAATGTCGCAGTAAGGGAGAGATGGGGAAAAAAGGCTGACATGGCAGTAAAATGACTGCCACGTGGCCTTCTAGCACTCTGGGTTTTCTTTTAGCCTTGGCACTCTCTAGCTGAGGGAGGGGCATGCCCCAAAGTCAGAGCAGCAGGGCCGTGTGGACCAGCACAGGCCCGGAACAACCTATGAGTCACACAGCAATTCGGGAAGCACTCATAACAGTGCGCCCGGTGCTGGCACAAAGTCACTGGGCACAGCTGGGACGCAAGACTGACTATCTTCCTGGAAGCCCCGCCCCCAGGGCCAGCAGCCCCTGAACCCCAAATTGGCAGAATGTGAAAATCTGGCTTTCTTCTATGGGACCAAAAAATAGGATCCTGGGGGCGCAAGTTACCTCTGATGATCTCATCTCAATCCGGCTAAATTTTAATCAATCTCCCCCACCCCACCTGGAGGATCAAATGCAGAAATACTTAGTAGTGAAAAGGATAAAGAATCAGAATCAGAGATGGGGGGCCAGAGCAATAGAACAGCAAGAAGGGTGCTTGCCTTGCAGACAGCAGATCTCGTTTCAATTCCTGGTATCCTATAGGTCCCCCCAGAATCGCCAGGAGTAATCCCTGAGTGCAGAGCCAAGAGTAAGCCCTAAGCACTGCCGGGTGTGACCCAAAAACCGAACAAACAAAAAAAGGAATCAGAATTGGTGGGGGGAAAGCGGAATGGTGGTGACAGGGGATAGTTCAAAGGGCTGAAGCAAGCATAGGCTTTGCTTGTTAGAGCCCCAAGTTCAATGCCCAAGAAACATATGAACATATGTGCGCCCCCTCCAACTCCCTCTGGGAGTGACCTCTGAGCACTGTGGCTGAAGTAGTTCCCAAACAAAAACCAAAAACAAGTAGAACTGCTCTGTGAAACCATTCATCTCCTTTGCAAGAAACACAACTCTAATTCATATTACAAAGATGCTCAGGACAAAATGAAGCTGAACAGAAAGGGCACAAATTATGCAGCTTTTCAAGTTGGGGGAGGGAATCACCCGGGAGAGCTCAGGGGTCATTCATTTTCTGGGGTAACAAATGAAGTGCTGGGAACTGAACCAGGGTCAGCCATACAAAAGCAAATACCTTGTTCTCAGTACCATCTCTCTGTTTCTACCAATTTGAAAGCCAAAACAAAAATTTTTTTTGGCCACATCCGCCGTTGCTTAGGGCTTACTCCTGAGCTCAGGAATCACTCCTAGTTGGTTCAGGGAACCACATATGGCACTAATGATTGAACCCTGGCTGGCCATATGCAAGGCAAGCACCCTAAACACTGTACTATCACTACAGCCCCTTGATTTTTTTTTTTAAAGACCATTACAAAACTACAAAACTGTAAAGGGCCAGGAATGTGGTGCAGGTGTTGTGTGCAAAGAATGTCTGATCCTGGGGCACTTCATGGCTCCAGAACAGAATCAACAGAAAACATGACGACAAAGAAATTCTATGACTACACAGTGAATTTTTAAATGTTTATTAGATGGATGATTTTCTTGAAAAATAGAAATCATCAAAACTGATATTCTAAAGGAAGAAAGTTTAGACTAACAAGGAGTGCTGAAATCTGACTAGTGAGTGCCAGTGTGGCATCTGGGTTGGTCTCTACCATATATGATCACTACCATATGAATGGTAGTGACGGTCCATTGCCGTTAACTGGTCATGTCTCTATCATTAATAGTCGGTAAAACTTTGAACACCATTACTGCCAACGTCTATAGACACGATAGAGAAAATGTTCAAAAATTTCCCACTAGTAAGGTCCTTAGTATCTATGGTTTCATAAGCCAACTGTCAAAACTGAACAAACAATTTTCATACTATTTATTCAGTAACAGGAAAAATGAAAAGCTTCTTGAAATAAAGATAGAAAGCAAGCCCAAGTCTTTGGTACTCGAGGCAAGACAGCACAATGTTAAAAAAAAAAAATCACAAACTAATTTCACTTGATGAATACAGATGTGAAAAGCCCAACATCCCTCATCACATCAATGGGTATGGGACTCTCTTCTTTCAGGTGTAGGCGTGGGGAGGAGAGCGAACTTGTCCTTCCAAAGCAAATGTTTTTTGTTTTGTTTTGGGGGTCACACCCGGCTACGCAAAGGGGCTAGACTGGTTCTGAACTCAGGAATTACTCCTGGAAGTGCTTAGGGACCAGGTGGGGTGCGAACCTGGCCAAATACAAGGCAAGTGCTCTACCTGTTGTATTATCTCTTCAGCCCCAAAGCCAATGTATTTCAGACAGTTTGGACAGGTCAGCTGGGCAAGGAAAGTCTCTGGTTGAGGTGACAAAATGGGAGGGAAGAAGTGAAGAGGAGAGAGGCTGAAAGATGGGGGATGGCACTAGGTAAAGGTGAATAATATCCTTGCACATGGGCAGTGATGCAATTAAGAGACCATCAAGTTGTGAGCAAACCAAGAGCACTAGGGGCTCTGGGGTGGAGATGGAGATGTGAGGAACCAAGAATGTTAGTGGGGCTGGTTTATGTACAGAAGGAGAGGGAATTCCTAGGGTCTCAGAAGTGCAAAGAGCACCAGTATACGTTGTGCGGTGGAGCTGGATCAATATGAAGACGAAGAGTGCAGGAATAAGATTTATTGGATGAGACAGACATCTTCATCAACAGTCAAGCATACCTCAGTCACCATACAAACAGAAACTTCCAAACCACCACACCTATAAACATTCCTTCATCCTTTGCTAGGAAACAGTGAGCTGTAAATGGGAAACAGTAACAGCATTTTGCACCTATCAACTGGCAAACAGAATGAAGCAAGAAAATACTTGGTGCTGGAGAGAAAGGATAATGTACAATAGAAATTGAGCTCCCAGAGTTATGACCTCAGGGATTAAAAGAAAGACAAGGGCTCCTAAGTGAGGAGTTGGATGAGCCGCCTTCCCATGAAACAGACCATTACTCGGCTCTAAAAAATTCATGCGTAAATAGGTTTGTTGCTATTGATTTACTGCTACGTCAAAAAAACAGCAGTTTCTAAAAATGTCATTTAAATTTTCACCTATGTGTACAAGTGCGAGACGCAATGACTTTTACCTCCTTTCTTCACACGCATTTCCAACATATTTTTGCGACGAACTTTAAAAAAAACACGCTAATAAATGAAACAAAAGCACCACTCTTCGGTGTATGCCTCGGAGGCTTCAAAGCGTAAGTGTAGATAGATTACTCCAATCTACAGTTCTCGACCCAAACTCATTCACACCCCAAGGCCCCCTTAATCCAACGATCCCCGGTTCCCCGCTCGCCCGCCTCCCCCAACTCAATCAGAAAAGTTCCCAGAGGACCCTCCCCTCCCTGATACCACAGTTCCCAAGGGAACTGATCATCTCCTCCTCGCCTAGCCCAGCTCTCCCGGGGCCAAAATTAGATTTTTAGGTCCTTGGCCCAGATCTCCAGGCCCGGTCCCCACCCGCCCCGCCTCAACCCCCGCCTGGATGGACCGTGAAAGCGCCGCTGACGGGGAGGGGGGCCACGCACTGACTCCCCAGTGGCCCCCGTGCACCCCGCAATTAAGCGCAAAGCACGTGCGCAGGAAGCCCGCAGACCCCGCAGCGGCCCGGGCCGCAGTGTCCGAGCGGCGGGGGGCGTCCCGAGGCTCGGGAAATGGGGTCCCGCGGGGCTGTCTCCCAGGCCCGCTTGGCCCGCCCCGGCCTCACCTTGGCGCTGCTCACGAAACGGACTTCCACGGTTCCCCGGGCCCGGCCCGCCACGCCCACGCAGAACGAGAACACGTCGCCCATGGAGGCCGCCATCTTGGGCGCGCCTCCGCTCGCTGACCCTTGACCCCGCCCCGACCCGGCCGGCCCCGCCCCCTCCGGCCGCGCGCCCGGCGCGAGCGAGCGTCTGAGTCTGCGTGGGCGTGCGCACTGGCGGGACCCACGCCGGAGCCTGCCGGTCTGTGCGCGCGTGTCCCGGTGCATCGGCGTGCTCCGCGTTCCTGTCGCCCGGGCCCGCCTTTTGTGCTCGTGGGTCCGTGCAGTTTCATGTTCGTGTCTTCTTCACGCCCCGTGTTCCTTTTGTATCTGTCTGCCTGTACCTAGTTTCACGCCTCGTAGGTCCCTGGGAACCCGTGTGTGTGTTTCTCCGGGTGAGTTCGTGTTTGCGCTTTTTTGTTGTCTCTGTCCACTCAGAGAGGCCCATCTCAAGTCAAGTGCTCACTCTGAGCGCTCCACAGTCAATGGAGGCTGGTCCAGGGGATGCAGAGCACCAGAGAAATCAGCACCTTGGACCCAGCTTGGGGTAGGTTGGCAGCTGACCAACCTTGGGGTAGGTTGGTATCTGATGCTCACCCACCTGCCCATCCTCCAGGAGCCAGGACAAGATTTCCCTTCACCCGATGCCATCTGGCAGAGGTGCAGATAGGCTTTCCAAGGGTCAGGGTGGACCTGTACCTTTCTCAGACTACCCAGGACTTTGGGTACCTTGTAGCCTGGACGGGGAGGGGGTCCGTAGCAGAGTTCAAGTCTGAGAGCCCCTGAAATTGTGTGTAGGAGTTGCATGTGCATATTTTTCTGACAAACTGGAGGGGGGCTTGTTCTCTCCTGGACCCAGTTCTCACCCCCCACAGTGCAAAGCACTGACATATTACTTCTATTCTCATAGCCCTGCTTGACCTTGTGTTTTCCTCCCCATTGATTCTGTGCGCCTAGAAAAGGAAAGGTATCTGCACTTGCTAAGTTTTCTGGTGACATATGGGATTGGGTAGAGTCCAATAACTGTAGAGTAGGCAACGTACTGTTGATTCTGTTGATTCTTTTTAAAGAGAGGGCAAGTGAGGAAGAGATGAGGGAGAAATAGACAGTGTAATTGATTCCTTGATTAATAGAGTTGACTTTGGGCTCAGAAATATTTCCCTGCCGACAGACATAGAGTGGGCTCTTGATGTTGGGACTTTGGCTTCCCTCAGGCCTGTAGCCTGGTGTCAGGGTGATCCGCTGCTGATCTCTGCTCCTTCTTCCACAAAATCCTATGGAAAGCAGCTGGGAACTCTTACCCTCTTGCCAATGGGTGACAGAGCACCACCTCGTGCTCATCCACCACCCAAAAGACCTAGATTAAATGGATACCTCCAGTGGAGGTTGGCCCTATAATGTGGGGCATGATATTTGTTGTTTTTTTGGGGGGAGGGGGTAGTTTGTGTTTTGGGCCACAGCTAGTGATACTGAGGGCCTATTTCGGGCTCTGTGCTCAAGAATCACTCCTGGCAGGGTTTGGGGCACCCTATGAGGTGCCAAGGATTGAACCTCAGTCTGCAGCCTGCAAGGCAAACATTCTAGCTGCTGTACTCTCACTGGGCCCTATAGAGATATGTCTTTAAAATGCCATTGGAGGAGCTGGTGAGACAGTACAGTGATTAAGGTGCTGGCCTTGCACATGGCTGACCTTGGTTCAGTCCGACACTACATAAGAGAAGTATGGCTACATCGCCCCTCTGCCCAACCCAACCCAATGCTGATGTAATCTGGGTTAGCCATGTGCAAGGCAAATGCTTTATTAGGAAAAAAATGCTACACACACACACACACACACACACACTGCTTCTTAGAAAATAAGCAGATTCTTGGGAAGGAAAAAGGAACCAAGGTTAGGGTTGCAAAAGGGAGTGGTAACTAAACTTTTATAAATACCGAAGTTTATGAAAACATGTCAGCCCTGCAAAAGAACAAGTTTTTCTGTATGAAATTGGAAAGAAGGAAATAGGAGTGACCAAGAGAGCATGACTGCTGCAAGAGACAGCTGGGGCTAAGACCTTCCAGACCAAAGAAGAAAACTTTAGGAACCTCTGAGAGAAGGAGGGCTAAATGGTCTCCCCTTCCCTCCTCTTAGTTCTGAACTCTACCATCTTCCTTCATAGACAGGGGAAGGAATCCTTAACCTCTAAAGAAGTCAGAGCTGTGCTGGCATCCCCCAGGATGAAAGGCCTGTCATCTTCAATACCCACTGCACACTTCGTGCTGGGCCTACCTCAAGTGCTTTACAGATGTCATTTCAGCCAAAGGAGATCTACGTGATCAACACACCAATTATACAAACGAAGGAAAAAAGGTTCTGACATCCAGTAACTTATGTAAGAACAGGGTTGAAGGCTAAAGTCTTTGCCTCTGACCTTACATCATTCTAGCTACCAGGGGTCCAGATAGAAAAAGGAGCCTCTGCTTGACAGTTCACTTTCCTCCAGTGCCCTTTGGCCCTGAAAAGGCTCTTCATTAGGATGTGGGGCAGGGAGGTCCATCCAGGGGGTGATTCCAGGAAGAACGAGTCCAAACAGCCAGCACTGCGCTGTGTCCAAGTCCTCAGCTGTCCGTGCCTGATGCGTCTTCATCTCTCTGGATGCTGGTGCTGGATGGCTCGTCTGGTGATGCACTCAAGGCAGACTCTACTGGCAGTTTCAGCCTTTGCTGCTTCTGATACTTGACCCTGCGGTTTTGGAACCAGACCCTCACCTGGAAAGCAGTGGAGACAAGTGATCAGAATGGGACCAGCCATTCCCACTGCTCCCCCATTCCCACAGTGCCCACCCCTCTCTGGCCAAAATGTTCTCGTCTTTCTAAGGGAAACATTCCCCCCCCCCCCCCACCGCCTCCCAGACATTCTTCCTTATAACTGTAGTTGCCATTCATTCATCCAACTAGTGCCTACTGAGCTCCTGTTACATTATGAAGCACCACCCTGAGTGATGGTACTATGAGTGGTGAGCATAGAGGGATGGTCCCTTCCCTCTTGGAGCTTACCAACTAGTGGGAAGGGTCCAATTAAAAATAGGCAAGCAAATACATAAATACAAATGGGGAGTATTAACAGGAAGGTTGAGCCTCACTGAGAATCAGCACTTAAGCCAAGGCTTAGGGGTGGAGGGCCCAGCCTGGTGGGGCCAAAACAAAACAGGCCAGGGCAGGGAATGACCTTCAGGAAAGCTCCGAGGTGGAATGAGGTTTGAAGTGTTTCAGGACAAGAAAAGAGGAGAGGAGGGTAGCATCAGGAAGGTAAGAAAAGGGTGGAAGGGCAGGAAGGAGAGTTTTTGTGGGGGTCAGTTCACCCTAGGACTATGAAAGCCATGGATGAGAAACATTAGCTTTAGAACATTAAAATGGGATGTGATAAAGTGGCACTACATGGAAAGTATCATGCTAAGCGAAGTGAGTCAGAGAGAAAGATGTTCTCGTCTTTCTAAGAGAAACATCTCCCCCCCCCCCCGCCCCCCGCCTACCTCAAGTGCTTTACACATGTCATTTCAGCCAAGGGAGGTCTGTGTGATCAACACACCAGTTATACAAATGAAGGAAAAAAGATTGCATGAAAAGATTGCATTCATCTGGGAAACATAAAGTAACAAAATAGGAGACTAACACCCAAGAATAGCCGAGATAAGTAGCAGGAGGTTTACTCCATGGCTTGGAGGCCAACCGCACACGCTAGGGGAAAAGGCAGCTCAGATAGAGAAGGGAGCACCAAATAAAGGGTGTTGGGAGGATCCTCCCAGGATGGGAGAAGCATGCTGAAAGTAGACTCTAGACCGAACATGATTGCCACTCAATGCCTCTTTTGCAAACCACAGTACCCCAAAGGAGAGAAAGAACAAAAGGGAATGATGGGGGAATAGAGGGTGGGAGGGATACTGGAATCAGTGGTGGTGGAGAATGGGCACTGGTGGAGGGATGGGTACTCGATCATTGTATAACTGAAACCCAAGCACAAAAGTTTGTAAGTCTACAACTGTACCTCATGGTGTTTCACTAATAAAAATTTTTTAAAAATGGGATGTGACATCATCCTATTTACATCTCAAGTGAATTGTATGTCTCATTACTGAGTGAAGCACGGATGAGAGCGGGGGCAGAGAGAGAGCAGGAAGGCAACTGTGGTGACTGTTCTGGAGCTGGGTCTGGTGGAACGTGGTATGGGCAAGTACCAGAGGAGGGAAGCCATTCTAGTAGCAATTTAAGAGAGAGAGGTGACCAGGCTTGCTTGCTGGTGATTTGGAAGAGTGAGAGAAGGAGGAATCTAGGATATCTAGGTATTTTGAGTGGACAGTGGGGATTGGGAAGGAGAGAAGTTCAAGAATTGAAATTTAAATGTGAAGTAAGACATCCAAGTGGAGGACTTGTGTAACAGGACAGTGATAATATAGTGGTAATACAGTCTTGAATGGAGCCAGCCTGGGTTTCAATCCCTGGCATCCCTTTTAGTCCCCTGAGCACCACTAGGAGTAAGTTCAGAGCCAGGAGTAACCACTGAGTATGACTAGGTGTGGCCTAGCCATGTCCCCACTCCTCTGCAAAAAAAAAAAAAAAAAAAGGCATCCATGTGAAGTCCATACAATGGGGTTTTCCTGTACAAATTAGAAAAGAATCTAGAGTATAGATGTCATCTGTTGAGTGGAAAATGTCAAGGTCAAAAAGAGAAGAGTATACTCACAGAGGAATAGAGAAGATGGGGTCAGACAGCTGGAAGGGAAAACCGAGAGTGTGGCTCTTGGCAGCCAAAAGCAAGAATATCTTCAACAAGAGTGACCGACTGTCCTGATTGCTGGCGTATGGTGGAATGAGGAAAGAAAAGCATCTGTTGACTTTGGCAACATAGAGCTCCTAAGAGACCTCAATGAGGTTTTCTTGGAATGAAAAGAAATCATGTTGGCATGAGTTAAGTCGTAGATGAGAAGTGAGGATATGGAGAGAACATAGCTCCCGAGAAGTTTGCCTCTGAAAAGGGAGTATAGGAATAGTTTAGCAGCTGGAGGGGGTTATAGGGTAAAGGGAATGTTAATTACCATTTTTAATATCTAAA